TTTTCTGTAAGGATGGCCCAACATTTCAGGTTAGTAGCCAAAAATATCTATTGTCATACTTCTTTCCTTAGAGGGAAGACACACCTTCATTTCCCAGGAGTTTTCTGAAATGGCTCTTGTTCTTCCCCTACAGAAGGAACTTACCTAGAAAGTACTGTCTCCAAAACCTGTCTGTCTACTTCGCTGTAGCCAGGCCAATCCTTCTGAACATCTTTAAATAAATGTTCCTTCAGACTGAAGGAATTATCCTCTGCATTCAGGTTGGCTACCTGCAGGAAGATAATTAAGAAACTAAATGTTCATGATATCCAAATGCAAACTGCAGATCAAAAGCTGCTACTGCAAAGCTAAATCAAAGCTGAAAAAAAAGTACCACAACAAATTATTTCACACAATCAAGACAACCCCTGAGTAGTTCTCTCCATTAAGCAGTAAAATAGTGCAAGGAAAAGAGACACAGAAGATAAGACATGAGGAGCAACAACATTAGAAAGAGATAATAATGCCTGCCATTCTAGCAAAACAAAAACTCTGCCCCAAAAGTTTTCAGTGTTTCTTTCCTTTCCTCTCATGGACTTGCAGGTTGGCCCATATGGATAAAATGTATTGAAAACCTTAGGCAAAGTGCATTATGTAAGTTGCTTGTCCATTTCTAATTGAAAGACTGGAGTGACAGAGGTAGAAATTAGGAATAAAAGAATAGCAGGAGGGAAAAATTGCTGGTATCAACTGCAGGATCTCACCTGCTGAAGGATCTTTCCAAGGGAACCCCTGTCCTTTTGCATGATTCCGTCTCTCTGCAAGCGATCAAATAACTCTGGCTTCTTGTAATTCTTCAGAGCCAGTAAGTGAATCACCCTGTCCCTGAATGGTCGGCCAGAAACTCCACTGGAAGTTCTCTGGAAGAAGTTTGCAGGGTTCATAGGTGTTGTTCTCTTCCTCTCAGGCACGGCATCTGGAGTGCTTTGTGGGACTCTTCTGACCTCTGCTTTTCTTCCTAAAATAAGGGCAAAAAAGAGGAAAAGAAATATCTCATATGGGAGGTTGGGAAACAGCAAGGAAGTTGGTTTAGAAGTATTTACCAGAACGGATAAACCTGTATTTGTTCAGCATTTCCAGGTCTTTAAGAATTCAGATGGTAAAGACACATCGAGTTGGGCATTAAAAATGCTCACGAATGAGTGATACTTGAGGCTGGGCAGTGGCTGACAATGTGCGCTGGCAGCCCAGAAAGACAACCCTGGGACCAGCAGGCTGAGAGAGAGGATACGACACACCAGCCTCTTATCTGAAACCACTTACTTGTGTCTGGTACCTGAAAAAGGCTAAATGAGAATTGGTGACAAAACCTGGAGCCTTCTGTCTTTGTATTTGGCTCACAGAGTCTGACCTGTTTTTATGAAGTGGAGGGTAAACCTTTAATACCTTTCCATGCTCGCTGCTCCCTGGACTCTGTCTTTCTGGTGTTCAGATGCAAACCTAATCATATGAACACACACAGTTAAATTTTGTAGAACACTGTAAACTTGCCAGTTGTCTGTTGAAGGCATTGCTAATGTTTTGAGAAGTTAAATTCAATGGTTATTGAATAATGCAGAAACTTCCCACAGCATTCAAGCAAAACACTTCCTAATGTTTTGTTTCTGAAGGACCTGAAAAAAAAATAACCTGAAACCATATCAAAGCATACATGGAAATTAGGAAAGGGTTCTTCACCCAGAGGGTAGTTAAGCACTCGTCAGGCTCCCCAGAAGAGTGGTCATGGCATCAAGTCTGCCAGAGTTCAGGAAGCACTTAGTGTTCTCAGGCACATGGCGGGATTCTTGGAGCCAGGAGCTAGACTTGATAACCTTTGTGGATTCCTTCAAATTCAGTATATTCTAAGATTCTGTGACAAACTCTAGCCCCTAACTGGTACTGCATGGAGCATGTTGCCCTATGTCCTACTAGCAACTAAACCTATCTGAGTTTTCTTAATGTCAGCCCAAAACAAAAATACCCCACTATATCACAATTGTCTTACTGCTGCAAATCTTCAGACTCCAATTACTGAACGTTAAATATTCACTTGAGATCTATTTAAACCACCAGCAAGAATCACACATATTATCATTCAATGTCAAACAGAACTTCCCCAGTGAGAAGTTCTGAAATACATGGAAGTGGCTCCTCTCACAGTCCATTACGGAGCAGTTCAGACAACAGAGGAGGAGCAGTGCCACTACTATCTCCTACAATCAACCCCAGTAAAGCTCCCTCGGAGTCAAGGCCACACATGCTAAATTTTCTCTTTCCAAAAAGCCGTGACAGTGTTAGCTTTAAATGCTCTGCCATGAGTACAGACAGAGCAAGAGCTGCATTTTCATTGCCAGGGATGTCCTGCTGGCAGGTGACTACAGCCACAGCCAAGTGAGAGCCTCTTTTACTCTGTGAAGGTGGATGTACCTGGCTCAGCTCACTGCTGCAGGCAGGACCACTGCTGCTGGTACCGCTGGGAGCCTGTAAGGTGGATGTCCACCTTGTGTCTGCCTGGAGACAGGCTTGTTGGGGAAACAGTGCTCAAAATAGTTCAATAATGAATTATATTCACTGGAGATGTCTGAATGCATCACTTTTCCCAAGAATACACTGCAGAAATCAATTACTAGGTTTAAAACTTACAGACATCCAATAAAAATTTAAAAGCAACCATACCTGAAAATGGTCCATCAGGTCCATCAGTAATCTCTGCACTTTGATTTCGTGATGCCTTTTCTGCCTGGGTCGGGAGTTTGAATTGCAAGGCTCCACACCTATAAAAACATAAAAAAGTTTTGAGCCCTTCAGGCACAACTTCAGCATTAGAAGCATGGTTGTATCAGGAACATTAAAACTGGTCTTCACAGGGGAAGAAAAACATTTCCCAGTTCTGACAGTGAGTTAGGGCGTAAACAGATTTCCAACTGCCTCTCACATCCAGACTTTTTTTTTTTTTTCCCAGTTTCACCTGTCAGTGTGGTTATAATTTCCTCACACCAGCACAGGGCTGTGCTGCTGGTTCTGCTGAGAACGGCTGCAGTGACAGCCATAGGCAGCACTCAGGCAGCTACCCTGGCACCCTCCTGGCAGGCAGGTCCTGCCCTGGAGCCTTCCTGTGCCCTGCCCTCACTGCCACTGCTCTTACCAAGTCCACTTGGTAACCACTTGGTTGTCAGAGCAACAGCCCTGACTGAGGACAGGACACCAGCCTTGGTTCACCTGAAACTCCTGTAAAATGACCAATCAAGGCTCCAAGAAAAAACATCAACAAACCTGAGTCTAAGTTTATCATGTCCTTTCTGAAAGTCGCAAAGCTGCACAAGGCCACTGCCCAGTATTTCAACACAATACAGCTCCAGTTTTGTCCATAGCCAAGGACTGTGGATTGATCCCTCACTCCAGCACATTTACAACAGAAAGAAAAGGCCATTTTTCAAATAACTCTGTGTGTAACACTACTGCAAGTTCTGCCGTAACTTTGCAGGCACTTTGCACAAACTGAGCGCTGCCTACACAGGGCTCGTGAAAGCTAGTCTGAATTAGATTTTGAGGAAAATTAGCAAAACGACACTAAAACTACCTAGGCTTCCTAGTCAGAATTATTTAAAGCTAAATGAGCTACATCAGTTTAATCTGACATAAAAAAATAGAGT